TCCCTAGCATCTGACTAGGTTCAGGAAAGATCACACTTCTAACAGTTCAACCATAGCATATAAATAAATGATAGTGTCAAAGAACCAAAACTCATAGCATTAGTCTCTGACATTATAAACTAAACAAAGAATTAGAAATTTTTCTATATATCTTCCAATTGATTGTTTATTTATTTAAAACTGATATAAATAAGAACAAATAACAGCATCAAAACTAACACTGCAAAGGGCCTCTTTGATGTTATGAATTTAAATACAGATCCATTATTAAGTTATCTTGGTATTACCTATTGGGAGTGTCATATAACAATAATAACCAAATTTTATCCCAGTAGATGGGGTTAGCAACATTGATAGACACCATTAGGCCCAATCAAAAAAAATCAAAATTTCAGTAAAACCATTTAGAGCAAGGACCCATACTACTGTGTTTAGCCAGGAGTACCTCAAGTGCCAAAACAATCGTCTTTGGTAGGCAGCCTTATATTGCATATTTGAAGAGTCTGTTCACACAAGGCGAAACCTGTGACCTCATTGAATCTCAATGTAAAATCAAAGCCATTATGCTCAAACTGTGACACAAACAAGCAATTAAATAAACAGAATACCTTCCTCGTTGAATCTCATGGCGCATGGCCTCTATATCAGCCTTGATCGGAGGCACATACTGTGACTCGGCGCGTGCCCTCGCGAGGTCGTTCTCGACCGACTGCAGCTCTGAAGCTATCTCCTTTCGCGACGCGGCGAGCTCCTGTACATCTGCCCGCACCTGATCGAGCTCGGAGCTCATGGCGGCGATGGAGCGGACCTCGGCGTCCATTTTGAGCGATTTCTCGTAGATCTCGCGCACCTCGGCATCGCGCTCGGCCTTAACGTTGGCGGCAGCGGCGGTGAGACTGCGGAGCTCCTGCTGGGTGACAGCGAGGTCTTGCTTGATGGCGACGTGGGCGGCGGCGAGGCGCTGGTTGTCTAGGAGGAGAGACTGGATCTCGCGGTGGCGAGCGATGAAGCGGTCTTCAAGGGCGGCGACCGGAAGGGCCCGGACGGCGGGGGAGGAGGAAGAATGGGAGAGAGCACGAGAGGACCCTAGATGCTTGCGCCCTGACATTTGCACTCCTCTTCTCTAACTATGACTCCAGTTTGGTTTTGATTTCATAGACACACGAACGGAAATGAGTAACTAGTGTGTCTGTGTGTCAGTCACCTTTCTCATCCTTTTAAGTTTTAACAAATTATAAACTGGAAATTATAAATTTATTAACACCAAACTAAGATTAACTGTTACTATTCTTATTGTCATTAAAAGTTAACGAGTATAAATGTTTGTCAAACCTCAAACTTTTTTTTTTCTTCATATACTCTAACCTCAAAATCTTTAACAATATATAAATATAGGGAAAATATTTTCTCATATCGTCGGAGATTTGTTTTTTTTTTTCTAGTAATGATATTTTGATTTTCGTGTAATAATTTCTTTTACTTTTTTATTTTTTTAATAAATGTGAACTCCACATAAAATATGTCTATAGCATGAGAAAATTTTAATCAAAACCATAAATATATCATCAGGTATAAAAATCATTTACGGACGAAATCAAAATTAAATTCAAGTTGACTGATTCTCAGTAACCATGTTAAACATTACTCAAGAGTCATTAATTCATAATTATTATCAAGCTATTTTTTTATTTTTTTTTATAACAATTATCAAGCTATTTTAATTATATAATATCACAATATGTAAAAAATAATCTAATATACATATATTTATTCTCTATACATGCCTATTTTCTTTTGTCATACATTCTTTTTTCATAATTGTTTTTTTTTTCAGCGTATTTATTTTTTCTTTCATGTTTTTTTTTTCTTTTGCCTTTGTAGGGTGCTGTTGATTGTGTTGGATAGTATTGGGCGCAACAACTTTAGCTCATTTTTTGACCATTTCTATTTTGGTAACACATTATGCATCTCATCACTATTGTTGTTGTATGTATTGCTGTATATGAACATATCTTATTGTTGATTGAGCGCATCCAGAGCTGCTAATAATTATTCTGGATAGTATTGAGCGCAGAAATTTTTTCTCTTTTTTTGATGATTTCTCTCTGGTAGGATAATCTATAACTCATCAATTTTGTTGATGTATGCATTGCTGTATATGAAAACAATCAATTATAGAGTACATAACTATTTTTTATTTGCATAATAATTGATGTTTCTTAATTGCAAAGTTTTGTTTGTGGTAGATATTTACAAAATTCTATGTGAGTGTTGTAGCTTTTTCACCTCCCTAAAGAGCGATTAAGCGACGACAGACGCCGACAAAAATTTTGATTTTTTTTCTCCGTTGCACGGGTACTGCACTAATATGTTTAAATAGCTTTGGCTCACCCTCATATGGTAGGCACGGCTTCAATCTATTCAAAACTATTTTCCTGATAAACTTGAATAAATCATTTTGAAGACATAACGGCATGTTTACCTCTGGCTTCATACACTTGTATAAAGACATAATGGCATTTTTACCTCTAGCTTCACCTGAATTACTTAGGTTACGTTTTACCCCTTCGATTCTTTCTCAGCCTTGTGCAGTGATTAGTGCCCGTTTTGTTTGCATGAAATTTAGGATTTTTCTCATTTACAAATGTTCACAATATTTATTTTCCTATTGTTTAAAAATAAATTGGTTAAACATGCTCAAATCAAATTTAAACTAACGAAAAAGTTAAACATCTCTTTCTCTCTGCTGAATATCAAATTCTCACCTCACCATGGCACTAATCGTATCATCAATAATTGCATTAAATGTTTTAATAGCTAATAATTATTTCGTTTCTTCTTATAGAACTGTCATGTTTACGAACAAATAGACAAAGACATATATACCAAAATCTACCTTCACCTCACTTGGTGAACAAAACTTTATAACATAAATACAGCATCAATCTATACAATAACCTAACCGCAAAGCAAAACAACTTTGGCATTGCACGAACAACACTGCAGACAGCAACCTGCAAGAATTGATCAAAGCCAAAGAAGGCTTAAAGACGGCAGACTTGCTAACTAGGGCACTAGGGATTTATAGCACATTTGAAACCACTTGCATTGAAATACCTATTTACTCTTACGTTGACCAGAAGCTAAACTAACAAGCAATGGATTTGAAGTATATAAACCATTCAACTCAAGGAAGGACATTTTAGGAGTGATAACAAATCCACCCGTGGTTGATGTGAGAACCAAAAGTCAAGCAACTCGTACCATATGGACTATCCTTAGTCACCATTAAACATAAAAAAAAAAAAAAAAAAAAAAAAAAAAACATGCAAAGAATACCGCTATGAACTTCCACAGTTGGAGGCTCACCATGTGGCAGCCAGAACCAACACTAATATTTAAAATATTAGTTTGAACCAACTGACAAAGAATACATGCATTACATGATATTCCTACTTGCTAACAAGTTTAATTTACAGATGGTCCAAACTTAATGCAAGGAGGTAACATGAAAATAAAAAATCTTCTAAAACTCTTCGCCAGTTGATTATTTATTTAAAAAAATGAACGGTTTTATAATGATATAGTAGTGTAGGCATTTTATTAATCAGGAAACGTATTTCAAAACAAAATACTTTCATAAGTAGAAGCACATCATCAATAAGTTGGGCATAGAGTTTTAATTTTAAGTGTGACAGAAGTTGGGTGGCCACATATATGAACTAAAATAATGCTATTTGGAACTAATTTATCTCATTAATCTTCAAAAAGACATGATAAAAATATAATTCTAATAAAAATAACATTGGCAAACCATTTATGTAGCTGAAGTTCACTTCAATAGTCCTTCGAAGTCCCAAAACCAAACAACAGTAAAGAAAATAGAGAAAATATATACATTCTAAAACAGTATATAATAGCTACATGCAATACAACTAGTTGAATTATATATACGACAAAATATATAATCTTCACTAGTGGCAACTCAAGGCATTCTAATTGCTACATATTATAGTTCTAACTCGAGGTAACTTTATTTCTAAAGCATAAAGGATATTGAACAAGTTCATTGCATTCTCTCTTTTTTTAATTATTATTGGTATGTAGTTCATTGAATTCTTTAATCATGCGTAAAATTTGCACTCCCGGCTTCATATAATTTTATATTGAGCTGCTACGAAGCAAATTAAACTGTTCAAATCAGAACTTATCAGAACAGCTATCACGTAACCTAAAGAACAATGCATGAATTCAATAAGAACATCCAGTGTTTCTCTAATGCAACAAGCTGCCAGAACACTATTTTTCTGTGTAAGAAGAAAACAAATTACAACTTAAATACTCTCTAATTGGGATTTATTGATCCATGGAACTATTACTTAACACCAAATATCCTATCAATGCCACCACCTGCTTGAACCAGATGCCACATGGGATGAGCCAAGGATGCAAGCATTTATCCACATAACGACACATGGTTCAAATTCCAAGCAAGTAAAAAGCATGTTTTCATTAAAGCAGCACTCACCTGAAACAATTAACCTACCTTAGCAGCAAGAAATTTGAAGACTATCCACTTGCCTCTATAAAAACATTCACATAAGTAAACTAATCCCTTCCTAAAAGTAAAAACCCCCAAGCGAGTGACAAATGAAACAAAAAGAAGCGAAGAGGTCTTGCTCAAAAGTAAGCGAACAACCTACCTCTTTGCTTCCATTTCAAGAAAACAGCCAACTGAATAAAACAAATCCCTCAGACCAGAAATCATAGTACATAAAATGTTCAATGTTGAAGCTCTTAGTAAGGTCGTGAACGGTTTCCACCATAATTATCACGCCTGTCAGGTCCAGAACCACCTCCATCTCTATAATTTTCTCTGCGTCTATCTCCACCGTAGCCACCCCTATTGCCCCTATAGAATGAAAAACAAACAACAAAAAACAAAACAATTAATATATCCATTTATAAATATGAACATTCATTTACAACTTACAAGGTCATTTGCATAGTTAATAAATACAATCAAATAGTCTTTTCACATTTTGTCATTTCTGCATTGATAATTGATTGATTGGTAATGAGCTCAATACTCCAGCTTTGATTTGTATTCTTCAACATAGAAACAAACCTTGCTGTCACATGCAACGAGCCAAGGTCTAACTAAATATATATGCACCGAGCTAAACATTAGGGTGTCTAATTGGGGCCTTATCCTAATGTGATTTTCACCACTTACCACACCAAACATCCACAAAGAAACAAGTTCAAAGATTTATAACAAGATTACTCAGCCAGTTCTTGATATCTAGATTGCAGGCAGACTAAACAGATCATTAATCACAACAAATGAAGACACCAATACACTTGTTATGAAGTATGAGCTTTAAATAAGCCTGGTTACATAGTTGTCAATCCCGGATAGTGGAGCACAGTAGCTGACCCCAATAACAAAATTGCAGGATAGCACACAGTGGGATGGCCACTATACCAATTACCGAAGACTATGGACACAAGATAAATAATTTATGCAGCACACATTAAATGCAAGAAAGCAAAAAAGTTAGTCAAAATTAAAGACATTCATCATTAATAATCAAAAGTCATAGTTTACCAATCTAAGGCATAATTTAACAGTCAATAATCAAACAATGCAAAACTGAAGCAGGGAAATTTGTCTAACAAATAACAATTGTCTAACAAGTTTAGCCACTGCCAAAATATCTTATTTAAAAAAAGGGAGGAAGAACTGTGCGAAACTGAGTTGAGCTAGAATTATGCAAAACAAAAGAAGCTGAGAAAAACAGAGGCAACACAGCAAAGACCTGAGAACCAACACAGCAGATGCCGGAAAGGGGGCAGGTTTTGCCGGAAAAAGCTTGGGCTGCTAAGAGATAGGAACAAGGACCCATACTACTGTGTTTAGTCAGGAGCACCTCAAGTGCCAAAACAATCGTCTTTGGTAGGCAGCCTTACATTGCATATTTGAAGAGTCTGTTTACACAAGGCGAAACCTGTGACCTCATTGAATCTCAATGTAAAATCAAAGCCATTATGTTTGTAAATACAAATTTGTAAAATTTCAAATACTAACGGCACAAATCCTTGCAAAAAATTAATTAATTAATATTATTTTTTAAATTTGTTTGTAATAAATCAAAATTCATCTCTAAGATAAAATATAAAAACCTAGACGCAACTATAAGAGCCTTTTGTGTGGATAAATATAAAACCCTATTACATGCTGACAGTTATAGGTGGCAAACTGGGCTTGGCCCAGAGGGTCGGCCCAACAACACAATTTTATAATTAAATTAAAATTTCATCCTTCTTCTTTTATAATTAAACTAGTATATTAATCGTGCGATGCACGGGAAAAAAGATCAAAATTTTTGTCGTCCGCCATGGTTGGTTAATCGCACTGCAAATCTTATATTTTACAAAAAACTGTGTTGTTATTTTGTTCTATATTTCAGGTGAAAAAAATTACAGGATTGACACAGAGCTTTGCAAATATCCACCACAAACATAAATTTGTTAAGAAAACGAATCGTAAAGATTATTTACGTCTTGTTTATAAGAAGATAGCATTGCAAAGATCAACAAACACTTTCCTCAATCCTGGCACGTTTGCAGAAGAAGGACTTTCCATTAAAATATGAAACGAATCGGAGAAAGCCGAAGAAAACAAAAAAATAATACCAACACAACAACCCCTACAAACAGAAATGAAGAAAGAAATCGTAGGCAAGCTAAAAAAAATAAGAAACACAACTTCTCTATTTATACAAAATGAATGCCACCCAAAACTCTCCAAATCTTTTCCCACCATCCATATTTTAAATTCAAAATTTGAAACCATTTCAAAATTCGAATTTTAGGTCATATGAGCAATTTCAATGTAAAAAGCAATTAAAACAGCTGAGTCATTCCATTTCAAAATTTGAAATTTTTAGATTAGATGAGCAATTAAAACAGCTGAGTCATTCCATTTCAAAATTCGAATTTTAGATCAGATGACTCATTCCAATTAAATGAGCAATCAAAATTCAAATCTCAAAATTCTAATGTAAAAAACAATTAAATCAGCTGACCAATTCCAATGTGATGAGCAGTGGGACATTCAATGCCTTGTCTGCCACCACAAATGGTCATTTATTTTTCGATTTAAAAAATAAATTTGATTTTTAAAAGAAATCCTTTTTCCAATTTACCAAAGAAGGAAAGTTTTTATATACCATGTAGTGTGAACACAATTTTCAGAATTAAGCAGGGAGTGACACATCAGCGAAGTTTCCAACATTGAACTCTCTTTTATATATATATATATATATATATATATATATATATATATATATATATATATATATATATATATCCTAAATCTGATTTTTATTTTTGTAAATACAAATTTGTTAAATTTTAAATACTAACGACACAAATCCTTGAAAAAAATAATTATTTAAAATTATTTTATAAATCTAATTGTAATAAATGAAACAAGAAAAACATTTCTGCAGTTACTACAGATAAGTTATCTGCGTTTACTTTCAAAACGACATCGTTTTAGGATTGAAATATTAAAAAATTATAATTATAAAGACTATAAAAACCCTGAAATAAATTAAAATTAATAAAATATAGTGATTTTCGCCCCAAAATAGCGTTGTATTGGGCTTACTGCAGATAACTTTTCTGCAGTAATTTCAGAAAAAGCGAACCCTAAATGAAAATTCATCTCTAAGATAAAATATAAAAACATTGACGCAACTATAGGAGCCTTTTTGTGTGGATAAATATAAAAAACATATTACATGCTGACAGTTATAAGTGGTAAACTGGGCTCGGCCCGGAGGGCCGGCACACTAACACATTTTTATAATTAAATTAAAATTTCACTATTCTTCTTTTATAATTAAAATCCTAAATCTGATTTCAATTTTTGTAAATTCAAATTTATAAAATTTCAAATACTAACAACACAAATCCTTGCAAAAAACTAATTATTTATTATTATTTTGTAAATCTGATTGTAATAAATGAAAAATCATCTCTGAGATAAAATATAAAAACTTATACACAACTATAAGAGCCTTTTTGTGTGGATAAATATAAAAACCTATTACATGCTGACAGTTGTAGGTGGCAAACTGGGCTCGGGCCGGAGGGCCAGCCCACTAACACATTTTTATAATTAAATTAAAATTTCATTTTTTGGAGTTACCCAACCCTAATTACCTCTTTGAAGCGAGTTGGCTCCCTCCGGTATCCCCACGAGCTTCGACTCTTTGAGCCGGCTATGGGACTAATCCGGAGTGCGGGGGAGCAGTGATGGCTAAAGGTTCAGCCCCCTCCCCAAGAATGCATTCAGCAGGAATCGAACACATGTCCAACCCCACTAACTCAGCGCCAAATTACCAACTGAGCTGCACCCATTGGGTTAAATTAAAATTTCATCCTTCTTCTTTTACAATTAAATTCCTAAATCTGATTTTAATTTTTTTAGATACAAATTTGTAAAATATCAAATACTAACGGTTCAAATCCTTGCAAAAAATATTTTTATTTTATATTTTAAATCTGATTGTAATAAATGAAAGTCCATATCAAAGATAAAATATAAAAACTTCAACTATAAGAACCTTTTTTGTGGATAAATATAAAAACTTGTTACATGCTGATTGTTAGAGGTGGCAAACTTGGCTCGGCCCTCAGTCCCTCACCAACTTATTTTTATAATTAAATTAAAATTTCATACTTCTTACTTTATAATTAAATTCCTAAATCTGATTTCAATTTTTGTAAATACAAATTTCTAAAGTTCAAAATACTAAGGACGCAAATCCTTGCAAAAATATAATTATTTACATAAAATGCTGATAGTTAAAAGTGACAAACTGGGCTTATCCCGGAGGGCCTGCCCGCCCAGCCTACCAACATATTTTTATAATTAAATTTAAATTCCACCCTTCTTCTTTTTTAATTAAATTCCTAAATCTGTTTTTAATTTTTGTAAATACAATTTGTAAAATTTCAAATACTAACGACACAAATACTTGCAAAAAATAATTATAAATAATTATTTTGTAAATTCGAGTGTAATAAATGAAAGTTCATCTCTGAGAAATACTGAAAGAAGCCGAGTCAAACTTTGTAATTCTTGAATAACCACAAGACAAGCGAAAATATAGAAATATATTTTGGAATGACCACAGAACAAGCTAAAGTATAGCGATATATTTTTGTGAAGATAAATATAGAAACCTATTACATGCTGATATAAAATGTTAACAGCCCACCTCTCCAAAATAGCACAAAATAACAATGCAGTTCTTTTTTATTTCATATATTTCTCAAGTAAAAGGTTTACATTTTTTATTTTGTTCCTTCATATGTATACCTCCACTATTGTACCTTTCAAGGCTTCATAGCAAGATGAAGTTCGTGATTTTTTTTAGAGATTAACCGACCAAGGTCGACAAAAATTTTGATTTTTTCCTCGTGCATCGGCACGGGTAATACACTAGTTATTTAGCAAAGAAACTCATGATACTTAAGGTCGAATAATGATTTGTTAAAGCATTTTCTCGTCCTTAAACAATTGGGATGGACGAAGAGTTTGCCACTAGGTTTTGTGACGTTCTATTGAAAAAAGGAAAAAAAATATTAAAATCGTTAAAAAGTGGAAAACAAAATGTAACAATTGACAATAGGGGTAATGAATTCTCCTCTCATAGTATAATGATCTCATTTTCTGCAAACAGAGGAATGCATGGAGCCCACCAAGTTTTTTATTAAAAAAAATTGAAAAAAAACATTTAAAATTTTGGATGTCTCTTACGGAAAGATGCTGGGCAGTGTGAAGGAAATAAAAAAAATTCAAGGAATTTTTTTATCAGATATCAAATGGTAAATAGTTTTTGACAACACTGGAGGATTTTTCTCATAATCTTTGGAATTTTTATAATTGCTGCTTATGATAAGGAGAAGAAAAAAAGGAAATATAATTAGAGACATTAAATTAACTATTACGAAGACACCTGTAATTTCCTTACAAGTTTATGATATTCTCGATGAGTGGCTACATCTGCATAACTACGTAAACCTATATGCACTTTCAATAGAGTTATGTAAATATAAAATCAGGTTCGGGATATATGTAAAAATAGAAGTAGGATCTTTTGACACCAGAGTCAAATTTCAAATTTGACACCTCATCTGAGAGCCGTTAGATAAAAAAAAAATTCAATGGTGTCACATGCTCACAAATCAGAGCCATTGATTTTTTTTAATCTAACAGCTCTCAGATGAAATTTGACACTAGTGTCAAAGAATTCTGCCTCGTAAAAATATGTCTACCATTCAAAACCTTTTTATTTAAAATATAAATATGTATATTTATATAACCTTAACTGCCTGACATATTGTCATGTTGAATATTACTATGTACCGAATTTATATTTACACAAATCTTCAATTGCCTATCTTTCATGCATAATTTTTTAAACGTCTAATATGATGGTTTATTATACAGTTTTCCACCTTGAATTGAATAGCTTTTTAGCCTAGAGCTTTCAATATGGGTCCTGCCTGTAGGCCAAAAACGTGGGATGGTTAGATGGTTTTGACCCGGTCCACTTAAGTGTGTTCAGATTCAGGCTGTTTTGACCTGGTATTTTTTCATAAAGAAAAAAGGAAACCCCCTCAAAAAAAAAAAAAAAAAACTTATGGACACTAGCCTTTTGATTATGAGCAAGTTTCACTAAGGAAGAGAAAGATAGATTCGGAAAAATTGAAAGTACGGAGACTACCGGAACACATTACCAATAATAATACATATATACAAGCTTAATGATTTATAACCATTTTCAGATATCCACAAAATTATATGCGCTGTAATTGGGTAATTTCTTTCAGAAAAAAATGTGATATACATTACATTCTTTTCCTTTCTCTTCTTTCAAAAACAAGACATCACTGGAAGCCTATCTAGGCTGTGCATGTTGCATGTCATAAGGATGATGTAATGTTGCTCCAGATGCATATTGAGGATGAGCATCAACCCCAGCTTGGATCTGAAAAGTTTAGCAGATTAAATATTTATTTGTTTTATGAGTAAAATATTTCTCCAGTCACCGGAGATAAATTATTCCCAGTAATCCCCAAAACTGTCATTTTGAATTAATGAAGGGTGTTTCCGTAATTTTAAGAAAATTAATGAAGAATGTTTCGGTAAAATTCATATGATAAAAAAATAAATAAAATTATGAAAACACCCTTCTTTAATTCAAAATAACATAGTTTTAGGCGTTACTGGAGATAAGACTGGAGAAATATTTTACCCTTGTTTTATTATACATGCGAAGAATATTCAACATGAAAACAAGATATCCAATTTCATGCATACATTTAGCAAACGACTACTGTTATTAGTAGATAGGTGGAACTGCCATTAAACAACTTATTAGTAGATTAATAGATCACTTTGGAATGGCATATTCATCACACATCCTAGATCAAGTAAAGACTCTGATTTTCCTCAAGCTACTGTTACATCCATTTGATTAGGAATTGATGACCTTTTAACAATACCCTATAAGGGATGGCTAGTCCAAGATGCTGAACAACAACGTTTCATTTTAGACAAACATCATTGTTATGGAAATGTACATGCGGTAAAAAAATTACATCAATCGATTGAGATATGGTATGCTACAAGTGAATATTTGCGACATGAAATGAGTTTCAATTTTAAGATGACTGACCCTCTTAATCCATTCCATATAATGCCTTTTTCAGGAGCTAGAGGAAATGCATCTCAAGGACATGGTCAGAAAGTTTTTCTTATCAAGAAATAAGATGACTTAGAAAAAGGGAAGAAAGAAGAGAGGAAGCCCTTAAGGAATCGAATCAACCTTTCGGCTTAAAAGAAACACGGGGAAAAACTCAGCAAATGCCAATTTGTAAACTTATCTATTACTGTCTGTTCTCAGAACTAGGTAACAGTTAAGACTTCAAATAGTTATGTTAACAAACATTACCTTCTTTTTTCTTTTTAATTTAAAAAAAAAAAAACTTTACATTGAAGCATAATTAGGATTGCTGCCATTTCTCCCTCATTCGAGTAAATAGTGGAAGAACATATATCAGATGCAGACTCCTCTTAAGGGTTCTCTTGATGTAATTTGACAACATCATTACCTCTAAACAAAGAGTGGAGTAAATATTGCCATACATACCTGATGCATGCCATAAGAGTCAGGAGGGTATGCCATTCCTGCATATCCCATCTCAGGATTGTCATAGTTTGCAGGATATCCAGGACCTGCATAGAAACAAACATCACGGATTTAATTACAAAATTTAACCAAAAAAATTCTAGTATACTTCTCTTATATTCAGTAAGCACTTCAAGATGAATGACCAATAAAGTCAAATTACTTGGGTTTGCAGCTGCAGCAACCGCAGCCCTTGCTCTCTTCTCTGCATTAGCCAGCTCAGCACGTAACTTTTCAACCTCACGGGACATAATGATTAAATTGTTATCCATTGCCCGCCTGTGCTCAAGGTTACTAGCGTGTGTCTTCTTCTCAAATTCAATAGCTTTCCTATATGCATCAGTAAATGTGAGTTTAAATCATTGATAATATTTCATACTTTGTGGTGACTTTTTCCCTAGCATCTGACTAGGTTCAGGAAAGATCACACTTCTAACAGTTCAACCATAGCATATAAATAAATGATAGTGTCAAAGAACCAAAACTCATAGCATTAGTCTCTGACATTATAAACTAAACAAAGAATTAGAAATTTTTCTATATATCTTCCAATTGATTGTTTATTTATTTAAAACTGATATAAATAAGAACAAATAACAGCATCAAAACTAACACTGCAAAGGGCCTCTTTGATGTTATGAATTTAAATGCAGATCCATTATTAAGTTATCTTGGTATTACCTATTGGGAGTGTCATATAACAATAATAACCAAATTTTATCCCAGTAGATGGGGTTAGCAACATTGATAGACACCATTAGGCCCAATCAAAAAAAATCAAAATTTCAGTAAAACCATTTAGAGCAAGGACCCATACTACTGTGTTTAGTCAGGAGCACCTCAAGTGCCAAAACAATCGTCTTTGGTAGGCAGCCTTATATTGCATATTTGAAGAGTCTGTTCACACAAGGCGAAACCTGTGACCTCATTGAATCTCAATGTAAAATCAAAGCCATTATGCTCAAACTGTGACACAAACAAGCAATTAAATAAACAGAATACCTTCCTCGTTGAATCTCATGGCGCATGGCCTCTATATCAGCCTTGATCGGAGGCACATACTGTGACTCGGCGCGTGCCCTCGCGAGGTCGTTCTCGACCGACTGCAGCTCTGAAGCTATCTCCTTTCGCGACGCGGCGAGCTCCTGTACATCTGCCCGCACCTGATCGAGCTCGGAGCTCATGGCGGCGATGGAGCGGACCTCGGCGTCCATTTTGAGCGATTTCTCGTAGATCTCGCGCACCTCGGCATCGCGCTCGGCCTTAACGTTGGCGGCAGCGGCGGTGAGACTGCGGAGCTCCTGCTGGGTGACAGCGAGGTCTTGCTTGATGGCGACGTGGGCGGCGGCGAGGCGCTGGTTGTCTAGGAGGAGAGACTGGATCTCGCGGTGGCGAGCGATGAAGCGGTCTTCAAGGGCGGCGACCGGAAGGGCCCGGACGGCGGGGGAGGAGGAAGAATGGGAGAGAGCACGAGAGGACCCTAGATGCTTGCGCCCTGACATTTGCACTCCTCTTCTCTAACTATGACTCCAGTTTGGTTTTGATTTCATAGACACACGAACGGAAATGAGTAACTAGTGTGTCTGTGTGTCAGTCACCTTTCTCATCCTTTTAAGTTTTAACAAATTATAAACTGGAAATTATAAATTTATTAACACCAAACTAAGATTAACTGTTACTATTCTTATTGTCATTAAAAGTTAACGAGTATAAATGTTTGTCAAACCTCAAACTTTTTTTTTTCTTCATATACTCTAACCTCAAAATCTTTAACAATATATAAATATAGGGAAAATATTTTCTCATATCGTCGGAGATTTGTTTTTTTTTTCTAGTAATGATCTTTTGATTTTCGTGTAATAATTTCTTTTACTTTTTTATTTTTTTAATAAATGTGAACTCCACATAAAATATGTCTATAGCATGAGAAAATTTTAATCAAAACCATAAATATATCATCAGGTATAAAAATCATTTACGGACGACGAATCAAAATTAAATTCAAGTTGACTGATTCTCAGTAACCATGTTAAACATTACTCAAGAGTCATTAATTCATAATTATTATCAAGCTATTTTTTTATTTTTTTTTATAACAATTATCAAGCTATTTTAATTATATAATATCACAATATGTAAAAAATAATCTAATATACATATATTTATTCTCTATACATGCCTATTTTCTTTTGTCATACATTCTTTTTTCATAATTGTTTTTTTTTTCAGCGTATTTATTTTTTCTTTCATGTTTTTTTTTTCTTTTGCCTTTGTAGGGTGCTGTTGATTGTGTTGGATAGTATTGGGCGCAACAACTTTAGCTCATTTTTTGACCATTTCTATTTTGGTAACACATTATGCATCTCATCACTATTGTTGTTGTATGTATTGCTGTATATGAACATATCTTATTGTTGATTGAGCGCATCCAGAGCTGCTAATAATTATTCTGGATAGTATTGAGCGCAGAAATTTTTTCTCTTTTTTTGATGATTTCTCTCTGGTAGGATAATCTATAACTCATCAATTTTGTTGATGTATGCATTGCTGTATATGAAAACAATCAATTATAGAGTACATAACTATTTTTTATTTGCATAATAATTGATGTTTCTTAATTGCAAAGTTTTGTTTGTGGTAGATATTTACAAAATTCTATGTGAGTGTTGTAGCTTTTTCACCTCCCTAAAGAGCGATTAAGCGACGACAGACGCCGACAAAAATTTTGATTTTTTTTCTCCGTTGCACGGGTACTGCACTAATATGTTTAAATAGCTTTGGCTCACCCTCATATGGTAGGCACGGCTTCAATCTATTCAAAACTATTTTCCTGATAAACTTGAATAAATCATTTTGAAGACATAACGGCATGTTTACCTCTGGCTTCATACACTTGTATAAAGACATAATGGCATTTTTACCTCTAGCTTCACCTGAATTACTTAGGTTACGTTTTACCCCTTCGATTCTTTCTCAGCCTTGTGCAGTGATTAGTGCCCGTTTTGTTTGCATGAAATTTAGGATTTTTCTCATTTACAAATGTTCACAATATTTATTTTCCTATTGTTTAAAAATAAATTGGTTAAACATGCTCAAATCAAATTTAAACTAACGAAAAAGTTAAACATCTCTTTCTCTCTGCTGAATATCAAATTCTCACCTCACCATGGCACTAATCGTATCATCAATAATTGCATTAAATGTTTTAATAGCTAATAATTATTTCGTTTCTTCTTATAGAACTGTCATGTTTACGAACAAATAGACAAAGACATATATACCAAAATCTACCTTCACCTCACTTGGTGAACAAAACTTTATAACATAAATACAGCATCAATCTATACAATAACCTAACCGCAAAGCAAAACAACTTTGGCATTGCACGAACAACACTGCAGACAGCAACCTGCAAGAATTGATCAAAGCCAAAGAAGGCTTAAAGACGGCAGACTTGCTAACTAGGGCACTAGGGATTTATAGCACATTTGAAACCACTTGCATTGAAATACCTATTTACTCTTACGTTGACCAGAAGCTAAACTAACAAGCAATGGATTTGAAGTATATAAACCATTCAACTCAAGGAAGGACATTTTAGGAGTGATAACAAATCCACCCGTGGTTGATGTGAGAACCAAAATACATGCATTACATGATATTCCTACTTGCTAACAAGTTTAATTTACAGATGGTCCAAACTTAATGCAAGGAGGTAACATGAAAATAAAAAATCTTCTAAAACTCTTCGCCAGTTGATTATTTATTTAAAAAAATGAACGGTTTTATAATGATATAGTAGTGTAGGCATTTTATTAATCAGGAAACGTATTTCAAAACAAAATACTTTCATAAGTAGAAGCACATCATCAATAAGTTGGGCATAGAGTTTTAATTTTAAGTGTGACAGAAGTTGGGTGGCCACATATATGAACTAAAATAATGCTATTTGGAACTAATTTATCTCATTAATCTTCAAAAAGACATGATAAAAATATAATTCTAATAAAAATAACATTGGCAAACCATTTATGTAGCTGAAGTTCACTTCAATAGTCCTTCGAAGTCCCAAAACCAAACAACAGTAAAGAAAATAGAGAAAATATATACATTCTAAAACAGTATATAATAGCTACATGCAATACAACTAGTTGAATTATATATACGACAAAATATATAATCTTCACTAGTGGCAACTCAA